TGAAGTTTAATGTTTTAAATAAAACTAATCAAAACAACAATTAAGACTTATTTTCTCCCTAGCTTCATGCTCGTCATGTGTTGTGTATGTAGTACACAGAATATTTATCTGCATTTTATGGAAAGACATTGCGTGGTTATGGAAAAGATGTCAGTCTGTTTGAGAAGGGTCAAATCATTGGCTGCTTCAAGCAGAGAAAACAATTAAGGAGATTGCAGAAACTACTAAAATTGGGTTAAGAACTGTCCAATACATTATTAAAAACTGCAAGGACAGTGGGGACTCATCGTCTTCGAGGAAGAAATGTCGCCAGAAAAAAAATCCTGAATGATCGTGATCGGTTTGGTGAAATCAAATCAAAGAAAAACAACAGTAGCACTCAGGGCTGTGTTTAATAGTGAAAGCAAGATCATTTCCACACACACAATGTGAAGAGAACTCAAGGGATTGGGACTGAACAGCTGTGTAGCCTAAAGAAAACCACTAATCAGTGAAGCTAACCAGAAAAAAAGGCTTCAGTTTGCTAGGGAGCATAAAGGTTGGACTCTGGAGCAATGGAAGAAGGTCATGTGGTCTGATGAGTCCAGATTTACCCTGTTCCAGAGTGATGGGAGCATCAGAGTAAGAAGAGAGGCAGGTGAAGTGATGCTCCCATCATGCCTAGTCATCAATGGTGAAAAATTAATGCAACACGGGATGGAAATAGATCTTGTGACATTGCACAAGCTTATCGAAACAATGCCACAGTGAATGCATGCTGTAATCAAAGCTAATGGCGGTCCAACAAAATATTAGTGTGTGACTTTTTTTTGCTGGCGACTTCTATTTTGGCCAGGCAGAATATAGGGATGCACAGATCCACATTTTTTTACTTCCAATTCAATCACGATACCTAACTCTGGATATCGGCTGATACCTTTCTGATATCATCATCATTATTGATTTTATATGAGGCTGTAATAATCTCTCTATAGACTAGTACAATTTGTACAAATATATGCATGCATGTCCAAAAAGGCAACTTGAGGTAAGTTTTGTTAATGTTGGATAAGTATCAAAGTTAGAATTAAATTATGCTAACACAAAACATGTTTTTTTTTTTATTCCTAGCTTTAAAGTGGATATTAAAGTGATTAATTTAAGTGATTGTTTGTTTAAAGTTATTTTTTATATATTTTAATAAGGGGCATATATAATACTTTTTTTATTCTTTCTGCACTCTTTTCATTCGACATTTTCTTTTTGATGAATTTGTTTTGTTTATTTTGTTTCTTTTAAATGAATGAATAATTGAATTAAATAAAATAAAAAAAATAAATGGCTTTAACCATCTGCTAAGTTTATGGCATAAACCAACACAAACATGTTCCTGTTTTTAGTATTTTACAT